ATCACTAAGCAAATTGAGTTTCTTTTTTCCATGTTTTCAGATAAGACGTTAAACTATCGTTATACTAATTGTCGTAAAATCACTGAAAGACACATTGAATTATTCAGCTAGAAAGGAGAACAGTTTAAAATCGTTTTGTGTCAGTCCTAGTGTCTTCCAAAATGAGTAATGATGAGAGGAAAACGAACATTCAGGCCTTCAGTAATGGTGGGAACATACATATTCTGGCTTCCATCTTCAAAGTCCATTTTAGAACAATCAAGAGAACGGTGATTAAGTTTTAGAAAAGAAGGAAAATTGTATCAAGAGGTCACAACGAGAAGAGGGATCATCATTTAAATTTAGAGCTAAAGAGATCAATTAGAAAAGATCCAACTCAATCCATAATAGAGGAGTTTCAGCTATGACAAAGAGCAGTGAAAAAACTTGAAAATGAAATCGTACGTGAAACGTGTGTGGCACCTTGTTAACCCAGCATAGAAAGTTAGAAGTAACATAAGCCTGGAATATATATATATATATATATATATATATATATATATATATATATATATGTATGTCATTTAAAAAGACATTTTATGTTTATACATTTCTTTTTATAGATACAAAGTAAATGCTAAAAAATGCAATCTATAAGAAATAAAAATAAATCTATAAAAAACATGTATAAACATAAAAATGTCTTAGAATAATTGTCGGACTTTGTCCATTTCAAAACAAATATATATATATATATATATATATATATATATATATATATATATATATATATATATATATATTCCAGGATTATAAACTTGACAGCCTTATGACTATCAGAGACAAATAGCATCCTGGAGACCTTAAAAATCTCCGAGACCATAAAAATCTCCGAGACCTTAAAAATGTCTGAGACTTTAAAAACAATTCAGCAATTTCCTCCACGACATCGAATTCACAATTAAATATTCCACCACTTCTGTTCCGTGTCTGGATGTACTAGTATGTCTAAATAACAATCACATCTCCACTATAATATACACCAAACCCAGTGATGATCATTGCTTCATAAAGTTTAATAGTTCCCTACTGACCTAAAAAAAATCAATCTACAGCCAATATCTACGCCTAAAACGTAACTGGTCACAAAATGGAAGAAAATTTGAAACTATTCACTTTCTTTCTTAATAGGAATTAACCACTTTAAACTATCAAAAAATCATTTACTAAAGTTTCCCAAAAAATACTCTTCAAACCTTTGAACTAAAAAAGAATAATTCCATAATCTTCATCATATTTAATTTTAATCACAAGCTTTTCCACATCATGACAAAAGATTTCCAGTATTGAAAACTCGACCAAACAATTAGAAAAAAATATTTAGCGAGGCTTCACGCCACCAATCAAATACGCACTTAACATTACTCACCACCTGACCAATGGACTATCACCTGCAATAAACTCCGATGCGAAGCCTGTAGACATATCATCACTGATATCAATTTCCCACCCACTGGCACTCAGGGATTCAAACTACTGGCTCTGAATTGTGACAGTTCAAATCTTATATATTTGCTTTTCTTCCACAAAGGCAAAAAAGAAAATTATGTTAAAGAAACTGGAACGAAATTCCGCCATAAAAACAAAACAACAACAACAACAATATTAACTTGTCGCTGCATATTTCAACCAAACATTTCATAGCATCGATGACATCAGATGCGTACTTTTAGAATCTTCATTCAACAGCCGACAAGAAAGATGTAGATAAAACTTGAAATTTATTTTCAAAATAAATACACACATCGGAGGATTAAACAGGGATTTGGATTTACTTAGAGATTATAATTTGCACAAGGAGACCTCTAATCAACAACATTCCTCGGAAAAGTAATTCCGACTACTTTGCTTATTCCTCGTATCGTAATAGTATAATTTTATTGGCTTTTTTATTCTTCAAATTCTGTATATTATGAAATGAACTACGTCTAACAATTATTTTAATATATATTCTGTTTATACGTTATTTTTATAGATAAAATATTTAAATAAATAATCTGTTTAAAATAAACAGTATAATGTACATTTAATTCATTTCATAGTATATGCTTTCATCTGTTTACATTAACATATGCTTCAAGCAGGAATGAATGTTCGAGAAAAATCATGGGAAATTTCTTGTTTAAAAACAGTAATTTGAATATGCTAGCCAGACGTTTACTCTGTAGCTAAATGTTATCGCACGTCAGGCCAAAGGTTCGATTCCTATCGAAAGACACGTATTTTCTACGAAATGTCTCGGAAATTCAGTGCGGTAAATGTAGTTAATACAGTTTATTATAAACAGAGCATTAACCTAATTAGTTGTATCAACAGAAATAACGTATAAACATTTATATAATCTATATATATATATATATATATATATATATATATATATATATATATATATATGTATATATATATATATATTATATATATATATATATAGTTTATATATATATATATATAGATAGATAGATAGATAGATAGATAGAGAGAGAGAGAGAGAGATTGAAAATATTAGTGGTAAATATACACATACATATGCAAACATATATCTAAAATATCATCTTTAGACCTTCCTGTTCTTCTCTCGTCTGTTACCCCTCCCTATAGCTTTCATTTACACTAACATTCGTCCCACACTCTCATACATACACTCTCACTAAATTTTATTTTTTTTTTATTCCTGGAGTTGTTTTTTCTGTTTTCTTTTTTAATTTTGAGGTCTGATGTATTGGATCGTATTTACGATTATTATGACCATGGAATATTAATATTCAAGCCTTTTTTATTTCATATATATATATATATATATATATATATATATATATATATATATATATATATATATATAAGAAACTTCTTCTAATTACCACTCTTATCTCATCTTCTTCCGGTTTTTCTCTATTTTACGTCTTCTTCTTCCCTGGCAATATATATTATTTTTTCTTAATACTACATGAGAACATCCGTTTCAATTGTTTTCTCATGTCTTTTCACAATTTCCTCCCTCCCCCACCATAATTTCAGTGATTTTCCTCCCACTACTGCCACACATTCTCCCCCTCTACAACATTTGGCTGCATCCTACTCCACATTCTCAGCCTTACGATATTTTCTCATTGTAGTTTTCTATTGATTTTTCTTTTAGTATTTTAGCCGTGCGTGTCGTTTCTACGTTTGAAGTATTTGCTTTTTTTTTCTGTCTTTGAAATCTGATTCACCCCCGATTTTTCTTCATATATTCCACGGTTCAACGCCTTTAAATCTTAATAGAAATTAATCGAATCACGAGGGAATACGCCAACTATATAAAAAAAAAATAACTGAATTTAATAAATAATAATCTTATTATATCAGCCAATCTTACAGTTTCTTCGGCGAGAGATAATTTCCATCTTCACGGTTTATCTATAGTTGTCGTGAGGAAAAAGGTTTTTTTTTTAGCCAAAAAAAATTCCTTTAATCTTTTTCCCGAAACCAAAGAGATAACCCACCCTGGAATACACAAAAAGGTTCTTCATCTTTATGTGCCGTTTTCTCCCAGAGTTTAGTCGATTATGGCTCTCCACTAATTCCTGTCCCTTGTAGATCTTAATAAACATTGGCTTTCTGTTATTTCTAATTCTGTTCTACAATGCATTATTTCAAGATCAATAAGTATATTATGTTTTCTAGCTGTCCTGTGAGTATCAAATTTTCCAAGTTCCCCTTCCTCATTATGTATCCCAGAATACTCAACTGTCTCTGTTTGATGTTATCTATTACTTTCCTTGCAGATTGATCACAGATTCTCAACTGGATTTAAATCAGGTGAGTTTCCAGGTTAATCTATGATACTTTGATTTGCTCACTGGTAAAGCTTGTCAGTGTGTTCGTGTAGCAGTACAGTTTTAGTACGCTTCGTTGGAGTAACGTCCATCCCTGACAATAGCCGTAGGAGAACTAATCGACAGTGCAGACAACAGTGTCTAGGTGTGCTGAAAATCTGATGCAATCACGGATGTCGGAATATTTTTCAAGGCCAAACAATTTTGCAGAGGGAACATGTCACAGGCCAAAGGTATATAAAAAAAAACAAAGCCAAATTGCAGATGACGAAATTATTGAATGACTATTGAGTGGAACTATCCAGTCGAATTAGTGTGAATTATAGTAAGTCGATGATTTAGGTTTTGATTTAGAATTTAACGGACGTAGCTTTACTAACAAGGTATTCACTGATATGGTTGACTTTTACGTCTTTGTTCTTGTTAAGTATTTATTTACGGTTGTAAATCAACACTGTTTTATCTTAACATTGGAGTCATACTTAATCATCAACCGCCACTGTACGTCAAAATATCGGGGAAAACTGCATTGTAATATAGGAAAAAAATTGTGTATGTCTGGAAAATAATAATTACTCAACTGCACTTTTTAAAACTGTCATATAGGAAGTAAATGTGTAACTATCCACATCCATGTTCGATCGCGACACTCTGGACTTATGAATATGTTTTCCGCCAGCTGTAAAAAAAATAGCGGTGTCATGCTACTGACTGCGGTGATTATTGAGTGACTATTGAATGGAACTATCCAGTCGAATTAGTGTGAATTATTGTGCGTCGATGATTTGGGTTTTGATTTAGGATTTACTGGACTTTAATTCGAGCCGCGTTACTAACAATGTATTCACTGAAATGGTTATTACCTTTGATTGTCTTTTACTACTTGTTAAGTACTTATTTGAGGTTGTAATTAAATACTGTTTTATTTTAACATTGGTGTCTTGAGTTATACTTAATTATTAACGGTCACCGGAAGTCACAAAATAGTTCAATGATAATGGCTCTTTTGAAATTTATCAAGAATGAATTATACATAGGAAGAATTGTGTATTATGACATCAGTAGGATAATCTCTATTTACATGACGATTATTGTCCTCATCTTCGCGCTTCGATGTATATATATAAGCCAACCACACATCTAAGATTACAGTAGCTGGCATTCACAAGCAGTCACCCATCTAGGTACAGATCAGGCTTGACGTTGCTTAACTTCGGTAATTGTATGAGATCCGGTATTTCCAAGTGATTTGGACGTAGGACTCAATATTCTGCAATTTGGAATAGAACTATCATATAGGAAGAAATGAGTAACTATCGACGCTGAGGTTCGAAGCTGATACTTTGGATTTATTAATATGTTTTCCGCCAGGTGTATAAATAGCGGTGTCAGGCTAATAACTGCAGTGATTATTGACCACTACCGGACGTTAAACCGAGACGCGGTACTAACAAAATATTCACTAAAATGATTAATTAACTTTCGTTGACTTTTACTTCTTTGTTCTTGTTAAGTATTTATTTGCTGTTGTAATGAAATATTGTTTTATTTTAACATTACTGTCTTGCGTTATACTTAATTATTAACGGCCACCGTGCGTCATAAAACCAATTCAACTGTAAATTGATGAGATCTCGTCGACTGACTTGTAAGGCGCGCAAATTTATAATGTCTGTGTACCATAGCGAAGAGCTTGTCCGAACAATTACCATGCACGTATTTATAGAAAAGGCACAAGGAAATGACTTTATGGAGGTGAGAAAGTGACTGAAACCGAGACGCCAGACCAGGACCAATAATATTGCTGATTCTTCTTTTCGATTTTATCGAGTATCTCGAGATATAAAACAGGAATTCCAGGTTATATGAGGCAGAAATATTCTAAGCAAGGACGTTATGGTATGGTTATTTATAGATATGCAAGATAGATTCAGCAGGGAAAAAATTGTCTAGCACAACGCAATGAACCAATTTCTTTTTAGCAGCTAATCTAGCAATGGATGCAATGTTGTCTTTCCACTTCATGATGTTCATGTTATTTGAATGCTAAATTTTTAAACTTCTTACATATGAACCATTTTTATATCACGCATTTAACAGATTGGCATGTTCAATAACCTTATACCCTTTAATTTTTAATGTAGCACTGATGCCAACGTGTTTACGTCTATAATACCAGCAATTGATAACCAGTTCTGTCAAAGGAATATGATTAGCCAGTAAGATAACGTGTGAGAATTATCCTTTTCTTGACTAAAGCTTTTAACGATCAGGATTCGTAGGGTCATCACACGTATTTCAGAACGTATGACAGCATGTAGATGATGGGGTCGGTTTTAAATTCAGAGTTTCCTTCACTTAGACGGGTTGCCATGCAAAACTGTCTTGCCATTTAGGTGCGGAGGGAAAGAAGACGAGTATTAGCACGTAAGTGAATGTAATGTATCCGACTGGAACTCGGCTCCCCGATCTGTCGATCCCACTGTCTAGTATTCCATCTTACCTTCTAAGATTTTAAAGGTAACTCCTTAAACTACATTCAAACAAAGACATGTTCATGCTGCACGAAAGTAAAAGGTGATTTATAGAGAAAGGGAGATGAAAGCAAATCATCCGCATCTGGTTACAACTAGTAAATCAGAATGAACCATTTTGTGTGACATACACAGAAAACGATTTACGTAGTGTACAAGTGTGGTTGGTGCATAAATTGTACAGCTTTCGGCCACGTCTACAGTATATAATGTACAGTTCACGGCCACATCACGTTGGAAAACCGATCCCTTTACGATCTCCGTAGTTCGGCAACGTCCAGATTTGTCTTTACCTAATTGAGTGACAGCTTGGGGAGACAATGTGATATAAGCTTAGATGTGCGGGCGGTGTAATGATTAACGGCTCGAAATTTTTAATTGGAGTGGCGTGATCAAATTTCCGTTGATATCGTATATTCATTTAACGCAAATAACCTTGAATGTGATATGAATCAAACTCTTCTCCCACCTGTTATGGGTTAAATAGTAGAAATTGTATCAGTAAATAATTATTATTCCCCGCCCCCAAAAAATTCGTTCAATCTAAAGATATTTTCTGATTTTAAGTAACTGGCAAAGTGCTGATAAGCTTTAAAATAAAAGAAATCAAAATCAATATTTCAAGATAGATATATTGCCATTAGTTTTCCCTCCAAACTTACTGTCTACATCGAATATTGATGTCACATCTTACTTTGAGCTTCTGTTTTATACTTAAGGATCGATATTTTTAGTTGTTTGTTTAACGGCATATCAACTCCGTACGGGTCATTTAATGCCTAAATTTAATTTTCATGGGAGTTTTGAAATAATTAAAATATGTTATTCTGCTTTCACAATTGAATACATGGTAGATGATACTCAGCTTTTCTGTATATGCGTGTTTGTGTGGATATAATTACTAGAAGCGTTGATTTATGTGCTTTATGTTTTTTGTTGAAGTTATATTTTGGAATACAGTTTGATTTCTTTAAGGAATTGTCAGATATTATATATGTTAATGTCATGAAAGTTTTCTTTTGTGTTAGTTGTATGGATGGTTGATTTTATTTTAGCGGCGTATCACCCTCTATGATTTTTTTTTTCATCCCGAAATCTAAATATTTTGAACACACTTTTATGCCTTCAACTACAGATAAAATGTATTGCTGCTTATTTAACTGTATTGATAGTCCCTTTTTCTATAAAAATCTATTGTTGGTATTTTTTTTCTATAAAAATGTATTTTTATACTTTCATAATGTTTTGTTTTTGTCTGAGGGGGTTCACTAATTGCCCATAGCTGGGACCCCAACAGGTGCTACCACAAAGTGGACCGGGGAACAATGGCAATTAAGAAGGGATTCTACACTACTCAAAACCTCCTATCTCCCTTTCGGAGGCCTTGCTGCCGGATGGAGACATCTAGGGTACATTGACAGAATCCAAAGAAGAATCGGCAATATTATAGGTCCTGGCCTGATATTTCGAGTTTCTTCTCGGTACGTTTTCTATAAATACTTTCAAGGTAATTTTTTTAATGAGATTTCCTCTTTGGTACCGTAATTTCACCAATTTAAGAGCACTATTAGATTCTTAGCCAGGTTTCATAATTTCTCTTCTGAAATTTGCAACCGCAAATACAATACGAATAATTTGCTATGCATTTCTCCAATTCACCTGTTATCCCCCAACTATGGGTTAATTAATAAGACTTTTATCACTAAACCATTATTATCTCAAAAATGAAATTCTTACAAACTAAAATATTTTCTCGCTTTAAATAACCGGCAAATGGTTGATAAGCCATAGAAAACGAATAAATAACAACAAAACAAAACCGATAATGATATTATTCATTTGAAGAAGGCTTATTTCAGGAGGATGAAATGCACTCTGACTATGGAGGCTGCATTTTTAGGGACCTAAACTCGACATAGTTCTTCGGGGACAAACAAATGAAAAAAGGCCCGGCCTGATGACCAATCGATTATTACCTTTTTCAATCGCTTAAAACGCTTGGGATGGTGTTCTTTAATGAAAACTGGATTTAATAGATTGTCAAAAACATTTCCCATCAAAACCTGAGGAAATTTACCGAAAACGTATTGATAAATGGCAAAAATTAATTGGAAATCATGGTAAATACAAAATTGAATAAAATATAATCATATTGTATGCTTTAGGCACCTCAGGATGGTGTAATGGTTAGCAAGCTTGTCTCGCAAGATCTATTACGATTGAGTGTGTGTCCGATCCTCACTGGGTGTCCCATACTTTCGGCATTGTGCCACATCTAAGCTACGCGTGGAAAATCGCTGTTTAATGTTTTGAAGAATAAAGTTGATAAGGGAAAATGAAAATTGGTGTCGACATTTTAACTCTGTGTATGCTTCAACCTAATGGAAAAGATCTTTTTATTTTCTCGAAACGGGAAACGTATGCCATAATGTCTAGTAAAGAAATGCTTAGATGGCAAACATAAGTCCGAGTCGACATATCTTCTGTCTTATTGGCGTGTGTGTCTAAATAAATTTCCACATTTTAGTATTTCGCATTTACATGACGCAAGAGTTCATTTTCGACTCGCGAACAAATAGACAATCAGAACCTTCTTTGTCAAACTTGAATATCTTCCTTGTCATTGTCCAAATCAACCGATTTTACACCTAAGTATTCTTGTTACCTGAGATCTATCATCGAATAACGGGAGAAAATGTAAAATATACAGCATCCTAACACAGCATGAAAACCAGTCATTCTGTCTCTGCTGTAACTAAAATATGTACTAACCTTAAACATTTATTATGTCTTTACATAAAATGGTCGCTTTTCAGATTTCCATCGCAAAAAGGGATTATGGCTGCCATTCAAATAATTTAAAAAAATAAACAAGGCTGTCTTATGCGTTTCAGCAAGCGAATGTGGCATTTTTCATTATTTACAGACTGTTCAACATGGTTGTCTGCAAGCAGACGATATAAAAAATAGCTAACAAATAAAAAAAACTATACCGTAAGATAACAGTTTCATTTCTTTTCTACTTTGTTCGTACCACGATTACTTCGCTTCGATTATTCGGATTTTGCCAAGTTCTCATAAAAAATTTAAAACCAAATAACGTAAAGGTTTTATAACTGTCAAGTAATTTAAGCAGGCAACAGTCCAAATTTCATTATTTCCTCCTCTCAGTTTGAACCATCGAATTCTTCATGCGGCTGTGTATCAACGCCAAAACTACTTGTCTGTGTAACAGGACCATATTACTTGTATAAATGGCCGATTCTAACAATTGGTTTCATGGAGGATTTCGACGCATTATTATACTGAAATCTTAAACAAAGACTTTTTCTGTATGAAAATATTAACGATTTATTTTGACAGTAAATTCCTTATCAATACATTGAGCAGGATTATAGATATAAATTTCCTAATCTCTAATGGATATATTCAGTCCTGACCACAGAAAATACCTTTTCCACATTTTTAGGGGATTCCTATAATAAAATCGACAACATACATTTAATTACCCCAATATATATATATATATATATATATATATATATATATATATATATATATGTGTGTGTGTGTGTGTGTGTGTGTGTGTTTTGAACAATAAAAAATATCAAAAGATTAAAATTTTCTGATACACTGTCGTGTATATTACTATTTTTTTGGTTTTATTGTTTCAGTTAGGTTCCTCGACTAGTTTCAGCAAGCATGGCATCATCAGGAGAAAAA